ATAGACATTAAAGACCTTCATTTAACTCTTACAGTGCCGTTTGCTTTGCTGGTCTGCCTGGGTCTTGACAGAAACTGTGGTACAAAGAGCCGACTGTACACATATCTGAATTAAAGCAGCAATTCTGTGCTCAGTGGAAAACAAAGATAAGTCCTTGAAAGGCTTCAGTACAGTTGTGTGAAGGTCTGATTTTGCTTCTCTCTCAACACAAATGGCAAATGTGAAACAATTTTGAGCAGAGCTTTGAGGCTTGGATCCTATTCCACATGCACAAAGTGGGAAATAGGCAGCCCTCCAAATATTTTGGGGTGAAAGTCCCAGCACTTCTAATAGTGAGGTATTCTAGGAACCGATAACATATAAAAGGGTTGTTCAGTATCCTTCCCTGTTTTATTCCAGTCTTGGAATGAACACAATTTGCTTCCATTGCAAATAACAAGTGGGGAACAGGGAGTCACAAAAGACCCCAAATAAACATAAACAAAAAAAGCATCCAACAAAATTTTTCTCAATTTCTACCATATCAGCATATACCTATTCAAAGACATTGAAAAAGGTGCTTTGAAAACCATTCTGCTTTTTGCAGAGGATTCAACAATGTGGATGCCTTCCTTGAAGTTTGAGTTAAAACTTGAGCAGATTCACTGTTCTAATGTGGAAGCCAAGAACTGTCAGTGATGTGCGAGGTGAAAGAAATGTATGCGTGGATATGAAATGAAATGCAATTTAAACTCACATTTTAAAAAACAATATTTTAAACCTGCTGTCAACTAGAAACTGCCTTTTCTGCCACAAGCGATCAGGGAGGCTGCCCTTCTACAAACCATTGTTTTGTCCACCAAAGCAATCTATCAGGAAGAGGGTGGAAGGTGGAAGGATTGAGAAGGCAAAACATTTTTTTGGACTTCGGGGGCCACAAAACACATTTGGACCCAGGAGCTATAAAATGGACTTGGGGGTTCACAAACCACTTTCCCTACTCCTACTATACCTCAGTGCCTAGCTTTAATTTACCTGTTTTCACAGTGAAATCGTGCCAGAATATCTTTGGCTTTTGTTTGACTGTTCAACTGAATTGCCATAGAAACTTTTGAATGTGATGGTGCATGAACTCTTATCACTCCTTCAGGTATGTCAGACTGCAGAAATGAGAAACAACAATCTGTTAATTTCAGCAAAAATATTAACTTAAGTAATGATTAGACAATGGAGTTTCCCTGCTCTTTACTTCCCATTTTGCCCATGAAAAGCCTTTCTTGATTAATAATCAGGCCTAGAATGTCGCGTATAACTTCCATTGGAAGAAGAAAATTTGAAACAAGTGGAGACAATGAAAAGAAGAGCTATCCCTCTTTCCATACTCTCTCACTGTCCTGTTTACGGACAGTCTTAATTAACTCACTTTACCCTCTGCATTAAAATGTCCTACTTTGTTACTTCCTCTTTCTCCTCTTCATCCTTGATTATCTCAACTGGTGCAAACTGAGTTCAAAATGCAAAAGTAGTATAAGAGAGAGTTGGTGAGGAAGCCTCATAGTAAATACAAACCTCTTTTGGCTTGCTTCCCAACATTTGAGGGCTGCTTGCAAAGATTGTAAAGAGATCTGCTGTCTAATTAAGGCATAGAATAGTCTGGGAAAATAGTTTTTTCTCATTAGCTAAAAAAATGTCACCAGATTTTTTTTAAAAAAAAACTCATGGGGGGTGAATTTCACATCATCACAGTTTCTTTTTTTATAATATGTTTATTATAATTTTGCTTACAAATATTTTAAAAGCAGAAAAAGGGTCGTGATGGGAAAGAGTAATAGGAGGGGTTAGGTATAGGGGTGTACTGGGATGGATTAAGGATGCGTTGGGGAGAGGAGGGGAGAAGCAAGCAGTCAAAGATAAGAGAAAAGAAAGGAAAAGGAAAAGAGAAAGAAAGAAAAAGAAGGGAGAAGAAAAGGAGAGAGATAGTACATAAAGAGAATAAAGTCCGGTTTCCACCTTCATCTTCCCTGGGTAGTTTTAGTTTTCACACTGGTGCCGTAGTTTTGTTTACTATTGGTCACTTCTCTTTTAGATCATTCGAGTCTTTAATTTTTGTTTTCGGTTATATATCTCATAATCATTTGGGAATAGCGAGTCGTTGTGAGTTTCATTATATTTCCTTGTAATTCTTATACAGGGTCCAGTCTGTTGGGATTATGGGTTTGTCCCCCGGATCTTTTAGATAGAATGTCAATAGGTCCATGTCCATGATTTCGGATACTTTAGTTTCCCATTCTTCTTTAGTTGACAGTTCTTTTAGTTTCCACTTCTTGGCGTATATTACCACAGTTTCAAGTCATTTCTACCCAGTGACTAAATAACTAATGTCACAGAAACGAAGAGGGTGGAGGTGGGAGAGAGAAAAGAAAGTGAAGGGATGTGGGGACTGTGGAAAGAGTGATGGAAACATTTGTTGGACCTGAATAAGCCAAAGGGATAAGGAGAGGTTTTATTTTTTCTTGGTGACATGATCAATAAATCTTACAGAACTAGCAGTGGAAGTAATTATTTCCTGTTGAAGATAATGTAGCAATAAGATCTGCTGTTTGTAAAGGTAGATCTAAACACAATCTCACTGACCTTACTTGGAACGATACAACATTTATCAGTCTTTTTGTGAATAACAGAAATAACTTAATTAGCAATGCTTACTTCCATTTCCTAATACAATTAGTACCACTCGGAGACAAGAACAATGGAAGACTTTATACTCAATTTTTACTAGCATCTATTTCAGAATATCTGAATAGTAGATTTTATGTTGAGCTGACTGAAATGTAAGTTACTTATCCAAATACTGTTCACTGCCAATCTCCCATTCCATTTACTATGACTAATACATTTCTCTGTCAAAGATTTATGTCCGAAATCAACCAATTTGCAGTCCTGAAATCCTGAAAAATATTGTACTTTTTTCTTGTCACTGTGGGAATAGATTTCATTGTAAAGCAAAGAAACCATAGTTAATAATAAAATCCAAACCCCTAAGATAATGTATATGTGTAGTTTCCAGATGTGAGATTTGGAGAGTTTGCCTCTTCTATACAGTGCTGTACCTTCTCAGCTGAATTTTCACAGGGGAAAACTGATCTCTCTGCTGACCATAGAGTGGGAAGAGACCTCATGAGCCATCTAGTCCAACCCCCTGCCAAGAAGCAGGAGAATCGCATTCAACGCACCAAAGCTTTGGAGTGGATATTGTCTGGTTCACAAGTATTCCAACTATACTCTTGTCAGGTCATTGCCATAATGGATAGCCTGCTTACTGGAGTTCATGGACTGATAAACTTGTGTAATGCACTTTATGTGTGCTACCTTTTTGCTTCGTCTAGAATAGGGGTGGGCAACTACAGGCAGGTTCTCCCAACTGTGAGTATGGTGAGCTAGATAAATGTGCATTTGACCTCCCAGCTGTGAACTTTCATGGTAATCAAATCTTTATGAAGGAAGCAGAGATGGATACTTCCAAAATGGAAGCAGTACTCTCCTGGTATCTTCCCAAAACAAGGAAGGAGGTCAAGCAATTTCTGGATTTTTCAAATTATTACCTCTCTTTATTCTAGACTTTGCAAAGCTTGATGCACCTTTATCTAACCTTCCACTCTACTGGGGTCTGTCCACTCAACTAGTTGTCCAGAATTTTAAGAAATTGTTTATATCAACCAATTTTGCAATATCCAGACTCCTGGATCTACATTTGAGTGCCTCTTATGTGATCATTGGGGCAGTGCTTCTCCAACCAATAATATCATGGAATCATTTTTCTTGTGCCTACTACTGAAGAAGGCTGACATCAACTAAGCAGAACAATACCATTTGGGAGAAAGAGCTCCTCACAGTTCGGTTAATGCAGGGGTCCTCAAACTAAGGCCCGGGGGCCGGATGCAGCCCTCCAAGGTAATTTACCCGGCCCTCACTCAGGGCCAATCTAAATCTGATACTACTTGAAAGCACACAATAACAACAACAATAATCCTATCACATCAGCCAAAAAGCAGGCCCACACTTCCCATTGAAATACTAATAAGTTTATATTTGTTAAAATGGTTCTTCATTTTAATTATTGTACTGTTTTTAAGCACTACAAATAAGATATGTGCAGTGTGCATAAGAATTCATTCATGTTTTCTTCAAATTATAATCCGGCCCTCCGACAGTTTGAGGGACTGTGACCTGGCCCTATGTTTAAAAAGTTTGAGGACCCCTGGGTTAATGTATGGAGATCTCTATTAGAGTAGGGCCACACCCCCTCTTTATGCATCCACATGGATCACTGCAACCTCAAATCTCTTCAGATGATACAAAGGTTAAATCAGAATCAAATGTTTATTCCTTTATTATTTGTAAGTTGGAGCATCCCGTGAAGCAATGGGTTAAACCCTTGTGCCAGCAGGACTGAAGACTAACAGGTCGGAGGTTCGAATCTGGGCAGAGCATGGATGAGCTCCCTCTGTCAGCTCCAGCTCCCTATGTGGGGACACTAGAGAAGCCTTCCACAAGAATGGTAAAACATCAGATCATTCAGGCGTCCCTTGGGCATCGTCCTTGCAGACAGCCAATTCTCTCACAGCAGAAGCAACTTGCAGTTTTTCAAGTCGCTCCTGACATGAAAAAAAAAGTAAGTTGTACTTTCAAACTCACTTGCTCTCAGAACCATTTCTCCAGGAATCTGGAATATGCTTCTCAGATGGGTAAAGAAACCTTATCTACTATTCCCTGCCCAAAGATTTTTGCAGCTGCTTAATCAGATCTGAAGCACCAAGGATGTGATGTGATTGTGAGGACATATTTATGGGAAAAGGGAGAGATATACAAACAAATAATCACCTCTGTTCTTTCTGGTCTCTCTCGTTCCATAGTTTTTCTTCTTAACAACCTTCGTACACCTTTGTCAAACATTAGCTGCTTTTTGGTATTGTTAATAGTAGCCTCATTCATCTTTCTCACCTGAGAAATCAGAAATGTTGGGACCTAAATGGACAAATACAAGAAAACTAACTATACATGATAACCTCAGAGACATCCCTTGAATGCAATTTTATTCAAGAAATTCAATACAGGCAATCTTGGAAACAGAGGTCTTATAGTAATCTTCTAAAAAGGACAATAAAGGCATTTTCTGCACTAATCCCAGAATTCCTTCTTGAAATGTTTTATTTATTCGACCTTTTCCTCTCTCTTTAGAAAAAAGGTAATGAATGCCAACATGTTCTTCTATGAACTTTTCTACTCCTGTGTCTGTACAGCTCTTGAAGGATAAAGCTTTAGTCAGCATCAAAGCATCAGGCACAATATTTTCAATTAAAGGACTGATACTACAATCTTTATGGTCTTTGATGAGCAAATGCAGGTACTCATTTTCCAGCTCTTCTGTCTTTCACTATAGATAAAAAGCTATCATAACCTTCTAGCTACATGGGTTATGATAGACGTTTCTTGTGCCATATAAAAAGCCTCTAACTTTTTGTTTATGGATTTCAAAAATCATGCAAATGCACTGGGTCACTTCCTACAGCTTTACTGAATGTGCCTGCTTTACTTTGCAGCCTCTGATTGGTGAACATATAATTAACAATTAGCTCCCATAGCAGCCACATGCTGTGAAATTGAAGTTTGCATCTGTAAAACAGGGAGTAAATGTTGACTTGAATGTCAAGGCCTCCAGGCTGAAAATTGAATTTGAATCAAACCTATTTGGTTTCTCAAGGAAATAGCATTTAGAGGCATTTTTTTTTTTGCCAGGCTGCCTCATAATTTAGAAACATTTTAGGAACCTGATTCAATTCTGAAGATTGTTCATTTCTATCTTGAAATATAAAATTGGCTCCATAAATCAAGCATGAAGTTTAGTTTCTTCTGACAAGAAGACCAACATATAAACACGCAACTTGACTCTGTATAACTTGACTCTGCCTATTACTATAGAACATGGATCTGGAAAAGCTTCAAATAAAAAGTTATTTTGAAATCAGAATTTATTAATGCTATTTTTTAAAGAACTATTTCCCAGAATAATCAATGGCTATGAATGCCAGAAGGCTGCTGAAAGCTGGAGTTTAAATTATCAGCTTTCCAAGGTTTGGGTGCATCCAGACAACCCTTAAAAGCACAAGCTGTGTTTTCACGTAAGGCATCCAAAAGATGCCCCACTTAAAAATGAATTCATTTGAGACCCATGTCTTTCCAGCCTTTCTGAAGACCCAAGTCTTTCCAGCTTCGGGCACTGTGTAGATGGGACCGGGGGTCACACTGCATGACTTCTGGTCTCCATCTACACATCTGTCTTGGGTTTCTTGGGCTCCTGGAGCCCAAGAAACCTGAAACATCCCCCTTAACTCCCCCAAAAATCTTTTAAAAAGTAAACAACTTACTCGGCCACCACTTCCCCTTCTCTGGAGCTCTCCTGGTGCATGGAAATGATGTGCCAGGAGAAGGGGGGGGGGTCCAGGAGAGATTTCCTTCCGCCCCCTTCTCCTGGCACATCATTTCTATGCATCAGGAGAGCTCTGGAGAAGGAGGAATGGCGGATGGGTAAATTATCTTTTTAAAAGGCTTTTCTGAGGGTTTTGTTTTGTGTCCTGGTGCCCTGCTGGAAAGTCCCACAGGGCATGTGGACACCCCCAGCAGAAAAGCATGTGCTTTCTGGGGCATGTGTGGACTTTAACCCAGGTGCAATCACAACATAAATACACTTTTAGGTGACTTTAAAGTTTCTGTAACTTATATCAAAGTAGCTGTTTCAAGAAGAACTAGTTCAAATTTAGCTTTGATTTCCTCATGTAAGATCAAGGGGAAACCATCAGAACCTTTCTCTGATTATGAATATGGCATACACCCCTATGTTAGTTTTATCAGTGCGTGCAACATCTCTTTGACTAACTACAAGGCAGACATATATTTAATTAGGTTCCTGTTATTTTAAGAGATGAGCAACAAGTTGGAAACATTTCTGTGATTTAGTGCCTATTGACTTTCCATTTACTACCTAGGTGCTAAAGATATAAGAATACTGCCACTAAATAAAAGTATGTCAATCCCATTTAATCATAATATTAAAAAAACAACATTTTGACTTACTGTCCACAGGATATCCTGGTATTTTATCAAAAGTCTCACAACATGGGCTGTGGTGGCAGCTGCTTGCATCTCTTCTTGGTTTGCACGTTTGCCTTTGTAGATGAAAAGGTTTGGGGCAATAATCATGGAAACATTCCATAAAGTCATTTTGTTCTTCTTCTCATTAGCCACCACTTTTTTCAAGAACTGCAGAAGGGCCTAGCAGAAAGAAGCCTACTCAGACTCAATTTACTAGATTACAAAGCTCATTCTGTGTGCTTCTAACCTGTATTACTATGAATGTTTATTTGGTCACAGTAAATATTGGCAGAAAAGCTAGGTGTATATTAAGAACTTTCTTTTGTGTGCTTTTGTGGGAGTTTGTTGCCTAGCCCCTTCGGGGTCGAGAAGGACAGGATATAAATATAGTAAATAATAATAATAATAATAATAATAATAATGACAAAGTTTTGGAATACAATACACCAGACATCACGACTGTGGAAAAGAAAAAAGTCTGGATTATTGATGTCGCCATACCAAGTGACAGCCGCATTGAGGAAAAATAACAGGAAAAACTCAGCCGCTATCAAGACCTCAAAATCAAACTGCAAAGGCTCTAGTATAAACCTGTACAGGTGGTCCCAGTGGTCATTGGCACATTGGGTGCCATGCCAGAAGATCTCAGCCGGCATTTGGAAACAATAAACATCTGCAGATCTGTCAACTGCAAAAGGCCACCTTACTTGGATCTGTGCGCATCATTCGAAAATACATCACACAGTTCTAGATGCTTGGGAAGTGTTCAACTTGTGATTTTTTTGATACAAAAGGGGTGTAAGTAACATATCCTGGTTCAATCTCTACTTTCATATCTCTGTAGAATAGCACCCATTTTTAAAAGCTAGAATTAGTTATCATGCAAAATAATCTGCAAACTAGCAAGTCAAACTGGTACTCATGTTACACTCTACAAAATATTCGCTCTGATCTGCAGCATAATTTTTCATCATACTTGTTTGAAATCTGATCTTAAAGCTGTGACAGAAAAGGACAATACAGTGGCACAAGAATACAAAATCAAAGCAATTCACTAAACAACTCACAACATCAGGTGAATGATCATGCAATCTTATGGCTTTGTTTTGTCTTATGCCTATAAAGTAACATTAATCTATTAAACCCATGCACACTGGGGCACTCTGAGAATTGTCTTTCCCATTTCTTTAAGTGATAAATAGTCAGCACACACTAGAAAAATAACCTTTGACAATGATGAAGCCTGGCTGCTTTCACTGTTTCCTGATTAGACACATTCTTGTAACATTTTAACAGAGATACGGAGAATAAAGAATTACATGCTAACCAAGGGATCAATTAATTGTAGATGTTTCAACCATCCTTCTCTCTACAGAATTAATTGTTCCCAGAGGAAAATAGTTGCTCAGCCTAAGAATAAGAAAGCATTACATTTGTTATGCTCTTGGAAACATGTAGCTTCTGCATATAGAATCAGCTCATTTGAAAGTCAGCAAATACAGATAGCAAACCTCAGTGAACAACATGCCTACCTTGGCTGCATCCCTGCTGGCATCAGGAAGCAACAGGATCAGCAAATGCAAGGCCTGCAGCTGCAGTTTGACCTGAGAAATTTCTAAAAATAAAATGATAGGAATTTAACAAAAACCCTGAAATGTGCCACCTGAGAAAAAGCCAACTTTTTTTTCTGGAGCACTAGGTTGTTTTGGTTTTTTTTTAAAGCAATGTAGGCACTTGTCCAGTAAGATGACATTAGCCTTACAGCCTTACAAGATCTTTTTTTTAAGTGAAGACTTCACCCCACTTAACATGTCAAGAGTAGATAACCATACAGCTCAGGCATAATCTGTTTGAAATTAAATAGATGATTTTCCTACCTCTGTCACACACTAGCAAACTATCCATTTTATTCAGGAGTTCTCCGTTGATTTGCCATCACATTGTAGAGAGTTGTCCACTGTTCCTTACTGTTGTTGTTGTTGTTATTCAGAGGTAGGATCAGGGCTGTAGCCATTCCCCCTCCCCGCGAATTTTTTCAGGTTTACTCATGAATTTTAACTGGTTAACCAAATCCCCATGCTAAGTCTATGAGAAGCAAACATTAAATTGATTTAATTCAATCTACATAAAATATAGAATGAACCATACTGTTTAAATTATTTTGTGTTATGGAATTACTCTTCATGATTCACTATTTTTTTTCAACTCCCCCCCCCCCCCCCCCCCGAATTTTTTTCTGCCAATGGCTCTGGGTAGGATGGCCATCTGTCGAGGGTACTTTGATTGTGCTTTTGCTAAATGACAGAAAGAAGTGGATTGGACTAGATGGCCCTTGGGGTCAATCGCAGGAGAAGAAGGAGGGAAGGAGGCATCTGGGGGAGTTAACACAACACACAGAAAGAAGGAAGGAAGGAAGGAAGGAAGGAAGGAAGGAAGGAAGGAAGGAAGGTCGGTGCCCAGAAAGTGCATGAGATAGAAAGGGACACTACATACTGCTGATCTTCCCTTCTCCATGAGCAAAAGCTAATGGTGGAGCTTTTTCTCAAAGGGAAATTTCCTGGTCGTTTAACAGTTTGATTTTCCTGTTTGTTATCTGCATTTGGATAAGTCTTTCATTTTGTTTAGTGGAAGATCTTGCCATTGATAGCTGCCTTTCTTAATCAAATCCTCTTATAGGATACTTAATCAGTAAGCAGTATCACATTTTCACCCACTATCACAAATCTATGTATAAATTATCCTATTACTGAAGGATGGATATCAGCTCCAGTTCTCACAGTTTATAGTTATCACAAATGTGAGTTCCATTAACTTGTTATCTTTTGGATGTAATCCCCAATGAAAAGAGTAATTCACCCTAGTAGGATTTTCCAAAACAAAGATACATTCTGAAAAAGTACAATTTTAAGATCAACACAGACTTGCATAAGCTTGGCTTGCCTTCAAATCAACTAGAATGTGAAAATGTACAGCTGGAGCTGGAAACTACAACAAAAAAGCTTTAATCCTATTCAAACTTGCCTGGGAATATTAAGGCTTATTTTTGAAAAATTGTTTGGGATGTGTTTATGCTGTTAGCAATTAAAATATGAAAATAATAATGTGTAAAATGCTGGGGGAATAGAATAGTCTGGTCACGACATGTTCCAGCAGCTGTGTTGTGGGGCATATAATTTATGAGCAGGTTGCAGCAAACAAATAATCTTTCCACTCTAATGTTCAGTCTTTTAATTGTTTTATTTCATTTAAATGGTTAAGAAGTCTATATATTTCTTTAACTTTTCTTTATTTTGTATCAAGTGTTAAACTGATAGGCTTCATCACTTGCATTCCTCATTGATGCTCTATTACACAGTGTTATTAACAATGTTTGCATCATCACATTTGCATAGTTGTTCTGATATTACTGATTCTTGGTAAGTGAAGACAGATCAAATCATTTTATATTTTGCATATTGGTTTTGGTGTTATTAGTGTTTGGAATATATGATACCAGAAATATTAATAACAAAAATGGTTTATAGTTATGCATTATCACTAACTAGAATACTGAAACTGAACTAGTTGCAGAATACATGTACTTCTCACCCTCCTCAAGGCTGCCACAGTGCCAATGGACACAGGAGGGCCCTGCCATAGCCCTTCTTGAGGCTGACGCAACACCAACGGACCTAGCGGGGCCTCACCATTGCTGTCTACAAAGCTGCTGCAGCTCCAGTTGTTATATTGTTGTTTTCTGTTTGTTTGTTTTGGCAATGAATGTTTGCCATTTGTTACTTTTGTTTTTTTAAAACGTATTTTATTATGCTATAAACACAAATCAACAAGACATATTCCAAGTGTTACAAGCATAAATCCTGAGTAATTCAACAAATACTAATGATATTATGCTAATTTACACTGGGGTAGATTATATTTTCCCTCCCTCTGTCCCTCTCCTTCCCTCCTCAACCACAGTATATTTCTACTAATCTTGCAGATCCAGCCACTGGTAAAGTCTTTGTATTTTTTCTTTGATGTGATCGTTGGCTCCTCCATTTTTCACTCAGTTGAAGTGGACCTTCTGTCTATTTGTAATGACCTTTTGTTTGTCCATTCTTATTGCTTGCCTAGTCATAATTCCCATAATGTCTAACAGCACTTGATAATACTTATAATCATTTCAATTGCTTAACATCCATTTCAATTTGTCTTTCCATCCTCTAGTGATCACTGCATGTGCTGCTCTTATTCTTACTTTAAATAACTTCTGGCAATTGATTTTTATACTCGGATGCTCCAACACTCCCCATAGTAGCAACTCGTAATTAATTTGAAATTTTATCTGGAATATCTCTCGAATTTTTCTTTGTATCATTTGCCAGAATTTTTTTTATTTCAGAACACTCCCACCACATATGTGAATAAGTACCTTTTTCTTTATTACAATGGTAACACTTCAAATTCTTTCCTTTTACCATATAAGCCAGTTGTTCAGTAGTTCTATACCATCTTAATACGATTTTTTCTAATTCATTATATTTTTCTGTTTTTATTTTATTCATGTTCCTAATTATTTTCTCTATTTCTGGTGTCCTTAATGATTTAGCCCCATTCCATTTGTTATGTATTGCTCTAATCATAAACTCTTTTTTCTACCATTAAATTATATATTTTTGCCAGTGTTCCTTTACTGGTTTTCCTCTTGCATTTAGCAATTTATCTACCTTTAGTTCTTCAGTGGGCTTTGCACCCTCTTTTTTTTTACTTTTCTCAAATCCCTCTTAATTTTAACCAATTTTCTCTCCCCCCCCCCTTTTCCAAAAACTCTGGCCAATTAATTATCTCTTTCTTATTTTTGTCTGTAAACCGCCCTGAGTCCCTTTGGGGAGATAAAGCAGAATAATAATAATAATAATAACTTCCTCATGTTTGTTTTCCCCACATAAAATTATATATTATATACATCTCCAGACTAATTTTATATACACTTTCTTGAATACCGATTGACCATGCATGATTGGACTATGCCCTCCCTCTCTCCTCTTTACATTTAAACTCAGCCCCAGGCGGTGGACAGAAAATCCTACATAAGAAAATACTGGAAAGCTTCAGTTCTGGCCTTCAAAGGGGCAATGCCTTAGAAATAAACCTTTTCTTTAGGAATACATTCCTGACATAGTTGATCCTCTGGGTCACAAGCAGGCCATCTTTCCTTATGGCCTGCCAATCAGTTCTTCTTTGATGTCTCAGAAGCCTTCAGTTTTAATTCAAAGCAGCCCTCCATCTCTGTCTCAGGTTAAACACCACATCATTCATTTTCAAGGGATTTTTCATGCCATGTTGTTTAATGTTGCACAGATCCAAGATATTATTATACCACATATGCATTGCTCCATTTGTCTATTTCATCAACCTCTATAGCTATGTATCAGCAACTGGAATTGCTCTCATTCTGCTCGTGATTCTATACTGTTTTTCTTAATTCTCTAAAAAGTTTTGTTTCTGCAGTGATCACCTCTAAATTCTCCTTCCTATGCTCCCTGCGACAGAGCTTGAAAATAACACATGTCCAAATAACAATGTTATCTATATCATGTTCTTAGGGAGATAGCAAATTCATAACAATATTATCTGGTAATAGTTTAGTACAACTGGTGCAAATTTTACTTATTATTCCTAAAATATCACGGGGGATTTTTGTGTGTGTGTCAGGAGCTATTTGGGAAATTGCAAGTAGCTTCTGGTGTGAGAGAATTGGCTGTCTGCAAGGACATTGCCCAGCGAATGCCTGGATGTTTTTGATGTTTTACCATCCTCGTGGGAGGCTTCTCTCATGTCCCCACATGGGGCGCTGGAGTTGACAGAGGGAGCTTATTCATGCTCTCCCCCGATTTGAACCTCTGACCTGTCCGTCTACAGTCCTGCCAGCACAAGGGTTTGTCCCATTGCACCACTTGGGGCTCCTTCTGCAAGTTGCTTCTGGAGTGAGAGGATTGGCCATCTGCAAGAACATTGCCCAGTGGACGCCTGGATGTTTTCAATGTTTTAGCATTGTGGAAGGCTTCTCTCAGGTCCCCGCATGGGGAGCTGGGTCATGGAGATCATGTAATAGTATAAACATAAATGTAGCATATTACTAAATTACTACAATTAATTAGTAATTAGTGGCAACAAGAAGTAACTTTTTTTAAAGTGAGAGTATTAAACTCTCCATGTTTTGCCTTGTAAGGAATATCACCAAATAATCACAATCACTAGAGTGGCTTTGTGAAAATCCTGTGCAGAAGTTGCAATAAACCATATTTGAGACCACATGCCTTTCTTCCACAGATTAATAAGGCCATAGGAAACAGTGGTAGAAATAACAGGTCCAACAATATATAGCGGCTTTCCAAACCTAAAATTAAGATTATTTTTTTCCCAGTGCTTCTTTCTCAAGCTTGTTTTCTGATGCTCCAGATACCAAGACATGAAGCAACGGATTCAAACTACAGGAAAATAGATCTCACCCAAACATTAGGAAGAAATTCCTAATGGGAAGAGGTGTTCAACAGTCTCAGAGTGTGGCAGAGTCTCCTTTTTTAAACAGATTTTTAAACAGAGACTGAATGGCCATCTGTCAGGAGTGTTTTGATTATGTGTTCCCATGTGCAGAGGGTGGACTGGAGGGTCTTTGTGGTCTCTTCCAAATCTACATTTCTCTGGCTTCATGGTTCTAGGATTGGCTGGTATCAAAATTGCTGGCACATGGTATCTAATCCTGTGATTCAAACTATCCTGACTCAACAGTTCATTCCACTGAAATCACTGTTATCTTTTCATTTGGCAGGAAAACTGCATCCTGTACAAATCAAAATATAAAAATAATAAGCAATGTTAAACTGTCTCTCCCCCTTTGATGAAACCCACAATTTTTGCTAAAAGAGATAATGCCAGGGAGATAAGTAACAGAGCATGTCTGTTTGGGAAAGGTTCTCTTACTCTTCTCTATCAATGTTATCATCAATGCCCTGCCATAAATGATAAATGCTTGTTTACAAGCCTAACTAGCAAAGACCTAAGCAGAGAATTCCACACAGGCTGTATTTCAGTGGGAGTTCTGGAGGCTGTGCATGCAACCTGTGGCTCTGTTTGTATTCACAGCCCAGCAGTTCCATTCTTCTACTGTCCTGTCAAATAAACAAATCAAAGCCAGAATCCAAGCAGCCAGACTCTTCTAGCTCCCCTACAATGCCGCCATCTGTGCCACACAACAAGCAGTGTCTTATATTTGGGAGAGATTGTAAAGCCAATTGCAATGTGATATTGAGTTCATTAGGGATCTTTCACTGCATGGCAGGTAAGCCTATATGCAAGTTTCCTTCCCACTGATTTTGTCAGTAACAGCAGCTATATGTTGTGAAACCCATGTAACCACAGAACCCATATCCATGGTTTCACTTATCAGGTTCACATGGAAGACTGGTCTTCCCTGTGAATTTGCTTGGTCCTCCAGGTGATTCTATGGTATATTTCTCCTGGAAGTTACTAGAAAGTTGATCTGAAGCTCCTAGCAAATCCCTTGGGGGGAGGGATATCTCTTTAGCAGGTAGGAGCAAACTTTTTTGCCCTAGGGCTGCAGTGTGGGCCCAGCCAGAAGGGCCAGACTGGGACAGTTGGCGGGCAAGCGTTAGGTGGGGTGGGGCCCGGGTCAGGTCATCATCAGGTGACTTGGACCAGCCTTGGAATATGTCTTAGATTGCGTGATTTTAAATGTTGTTTAATTTTTAATGTTTTAATTGTTTTGGAATTTAATGCTTTGCTTATTTATTGATGTGTGTGTGTGTCTGTGTGTGTGTGTGTGTATGGCATCAAATTGTTGTCTTAGTAAGGCTGCCCTGAGTTCCTTTCGGAGTGAGAAGGCAGGGTGTAAGTGTGGTAAATAAATAAATAAAAATAAATAAATGCATAAAAATATCCCTCTAGTATAAGGATGGGGTTGCTCACCCAATCCTTATGCTGGGGGAGGGCAAGACACATGGCCACTGCCCCGATCCTCCTCCCTGAACCTCGGGCTGCACTCTTGGCATAAGGATGGGGCGACTAGCCCCATCTTTGTGCCAGGAGAAGGGTGAGACAGGAGGTGGCTGAGAGCTTTCCAGAGGGCTCTCTGCTGCCACCTGCCTTCCTGGGGCCATCCTCCCACCATAAGGATGGGGCTGCTTACTCCATCCTTGTGCCGGGAGGAGGGCTTGAGGAAGGCACATGGGGGCTTCGACCCCTCCAGAGTGCTCTCAGCTGCCGTGTGCCTTCCTCCTTTGTCCTTTCAGATAAGAAAGTGACAGATCATCACGTCCTTATGCTGAGAGGGCAGAGAAAATTAGGAGGGTCGGGGCTGCGTCCAGCCTGCGGGCCTTAGTTGGCCCATACTGCTCTATAGTATACTGTAACTGGTATTTGAATGTATCTATGGTTTCAGGTATCACCTTTGGAAACAGGGGTCTTACAGCATTTGTTTTTTATATGTAGAATTGTGCTCATCTACTTTTAAAAAGTCAGCTGGGAATGTTACTTGATTTAGATTAATACTGTAGTCTAAAGAAGAGGTGCTTTAACTTTCTGCCATGCTGTGTTGGTTATGAAAACTTGCCACTGACATTGCAATTTTTTTTTAAAAAAAACTTGTTATTGGTTTTTTCCCCAGTTCTAAAAACCCTACCAGGTTTATGGACAATCTTATGGTGCCTGTTGATGTGGAGAGGATGACACATCATCTAATCTCTGACTTCCAGCACAACTCTACCTTAAACAGTGACTCAGACTGTGCCTTAGAGGAATATGCTTGAGTGCCCCCAGGACTCAAACTTGAATAGGAGGCAAGGAGAAAAGACAGCAAATGATTGACAAACCTCTAAATAGAGGAGAGGATAGAAGCTTGGTATGTGTATGTGGCAGGGACTAAAATTCATGTCTCTTGTACATGTCAGCTAGGACTTCTGGAAGCTGAAGTCTAACTACATGGAAGACCATTGCTCTAGATTGAAGTCTACTTGCAGATGGGAGAAGAAATGATCTTGGAGTGGTTGCTGGAGTAAATATTGGAGCTACTGATTTTTTAAAAAAAATTCTGGAATGTGAATAGTGACTCAGTCAAGCTGTTGGGTTAAAAAGAGGATACTATGCAGAATGCTAATTGCTCTACTTACTTTCCACTAATGAGATGAAGGCAGGCAGATATTCCATAGTGAAGAGAGGACTTGGAAGTTCCCGTATAAACATCTTCAACAGACCTGCTGCATCATTGTTACGCACTTGATCCCAGTCAAAAGCATCTTCATCAAATTTTGCTTCAATTTCTTGGTGAAGACTCTGCAGAATAAAACAAAAATGACTGGTTAGGGAAAGCTGCTAATAAAAGGGACTTTTGTTGAAAGAGAAAAACTACTTAGGTGGAGTGTAATATTTTCAGACAAAGCTGTTCCTAGAAATAAATGTGTCAAAAATTGGCTCACAGCTCTTATATCCAAATATTTGCAAATCAGCTTGTATCAAGTACCTTTTAGCTAGCTCTTCCAAAATAACACTCAGCTGTGTCAGAATATTATTCTGGCTGTTCTACTGCTTTTAATAGACAGAAGACCTTGCAATTTTGGAACGAACAATAGAGGCATACACTGCTTGATATTACAGTATGTGTCCCTTATGTTCCAAACTACTGGTACATGTAAGACTTGGGCAATAGAAACCTTAAGCCACCAGGACAATTATCTAAGGGAATTACTAGCCCAGTCATTACTATGCCACAACACTGCTCATATCATATAGTTTTCTTTTTCCGTGTCAGCAGCGACTTGAGAAACTGCAAGTCGCTTCTGGTATGAGAGAATTGGCTGTCTGCAAGGATTTTGCCCAGGAGGTGCATGGATGTTTTACCATCCTGTGGGAGGCTTCTCTCATGTCCTGCATGAGAAGCTAGAGCTAACAGACAGGAGCTCACTCTGCTTCCCGGATTCGAACCACCAACCTTTTGGTCAGCAGTCCTGTCAGCACAAGGGTTTAACCCACTATGGCCACTGGGGGCTCCTGCTCATATAGTGACAAAAGCTCTTCAGCCAATATTGTTCGTATAGTGGCAAAAGCTTTTCAGCCAAGCCAGGACTGTATGACTTGAAGAAATCGACAGAGACACTGTTGAATGTATATATGTCCTGCTCCAAGCTGTGGTTTCCAGTTCGAATAACATGACAGTTAAAAAACAAACAAAAAAACACCCCACTTTCTGAGCACCTCTTGAGAACTTGTCTCTCTACCCTTTGATAATTGTGTGAGTGACATCTTGTCAGTTCGCTATGAGTAAACACTGTATGATGCAGACCCTGAAGAGTACGCCAAGGTGAAGTCCATAATGGATCAGGACTGGAAGGCTATAGATTTTCAGGTAGAAGAAGTGATTTGGAGCATAACTGGAAAAAGGGACTGGAAATGAACAGAACTGGCTTTTGTTGCTAGTGGATCTGCAAGCTGGATGTGGCATTTATGATCACACCCGTAACCGTTCAACAAAATGCTAATCAATGTCTGTACAAGCTTCCCTCACAGATCTGCTCCATTCTAGACAGGCATGTTCATCTCCTGATGGGCATTCTTATCTCACAACTAGAGGAGGCCCACTAAAATAGCTGAAGAGTAGGTCAACTTGCAATAAAATCCAGTTGATTTGTGGCTCTCTTCTCATCAGGCCTAGCAATAAAAATTAACCTCTGGTCATGATGAAGTGAGCTAGTGTGGTACAGATGTTTGAGCTTTGCACAATGACTCTGGAGAACAGGGTTCAGTTCCTCACTCAGCCATGGAAACCCACTGGATGACCTTAGGTGAGCTATTCTCAAACTCAGAAAACCCAGTGATATGTATAGCTTAGGATCACCATCTGTCAGACGCTACTAAAGAAACACAACAACAGCAGCATCAGCATCATGATGGATAATGAACAAGTAACTTTGTTTTTCAGTAGATATAATCGGAAATCAACGGATTGATGAAATCACGTACTTTTTCTAACTTTTTGTTACTTTCAAAGAATATTCTTTAATTAAATCCATATGCTTTTGTTTTAAACATTTTTTTCTGGAATGGTTTCAAATTCTAATGTCAACATAATATGCAATGGTGTTGAATGGTGAAATCTGGATTGGCTTAGAAGCCCTTACTGGCTGACATTTGATCAAATTTAATAACTTAAAATTAAAAACATTACATCTTTCATGTGAATTTTTGGCTTTCCTTCCAATAAATGAAAGTTTGACAGAATAATACATAACAGAAAGCATTGCCTGGATACAGAAACATAAACGGCCCAAAAAACAAACAAACAGAGTTGTATATAAACAAATTACAAGGAAGAATATTCTGATCAAACATTAGGAAGAACTTTCTGCTGGTAAGGGCTATTTCAACAGACTTTCCCCAAAGGAGGCAGATTCTCTTTCATTGGCGCTTAAGTGGCAGGACTACTTTAGTAGTGAATTCCTGCATTGGTTGGGAGTGGTAGCCTCAACCAAGCCAGTAGTCTTTATGAGCATGATCAAAATGACACTACTTGAAATCCTTTGGAGTAATCTTCTGGGTGGCAGGACCCTGCATTTTTTCCACATTTTTTCCACATGCTTTGATTGTAATGACTTTGATTACAAGTAAAATAAATAAAATGTTGGTGTTGAATGCTTTTAGGACTCAATCTTCCTGCAGTAAGTCATCTGTTCCAATTGGCCTGTTGTAAAATGTCCTTCCCACTATTATCTCTCATCTGTTTTGTCCTAAAATTACTAGGTACTTCTATATGTTGGGGTTTCCCCAACATACAAACTACATAATGATCAGTTCTTAGGAATATAGATACACAAACACACACACACGCGCATGTGCACTCGTGCACACACACACACACACACACACACACACACATGAGGGATAAACAGTTCTATATTGCTTGTTCATAAGTATTTTTTAACAAGAGTTAACACCAATTTATAAAATTTGTGTGAAACAGCTACATACCTTAACCCGTGAAGCAGATCCTGGCACTCGAAGAATTCCTTCTGTTTCCAGGCCTGTTTCTTCAAGCTTGAGTAACAGCTATGCCCAATAGATAAAAAGATTACTATTTAAAATGTCTTTCAGTGCAGAGGTAAAAGATATGCAATTTGGGCTTTACAAACATAAAATAGTAAGATCATAATCCTGCCCTGATTTTAATGCTATTGGGGCATTATGCTCCAGAGACTCAGCACAATGTGCATGGGGCACTGAGGTGTAAAGGCTGGTTCTGTAACTCCAGCATCCACATCCCTGCCTCCTTGGTACTTTGCCTCCTTACTTAGGGAAAAGAAGCCTGAAGGTGATTTCCACCCTCCCATGCAACTGGAAATTCTTGTGTTAAGATGGTTGATTGAGTGGAGGTTTTGCTTCATATTTAAGGAAACATAAATGGAAACCTCCTTCACAGTTCACTACTGAAAGGATGAGAAAGGGAGGCAAGGCAGTTGGCATGGCCAATATACAACTGTATGCCCCTTATATGTTCTGTTTTAGGCATGCTACCCCTCTATTCTGCCTTGGTCAGACCACACCTGGAATACTGTGTCCAATCAGGGCACCACAATTTAGGGGAGCTGTTGACAAGTTGGAATGTGTCCAGAGGAAAGCAACTAAAATTATCAAGGGTACTGGAGAACAAGCCCTATGAGGAGTGGCTTAAAGAACTGGACATATTTAGCCTGCAGAAGAGAAGGCTGAGTAGGGACATGATGGTCATGTATAAATACGTGAGAGGAACATACAGTGACAAAAGCTTTTCAGCCAAGCCATAGGGTGGAAGGAGCAAGTTTGTTTTCTGCTGCCCTAAGGACTAGGATGTGGAACAATGGCTTCAAAGTACAGGAAAGGAGATTCCACTGGAACATTAGGAAGAACTTCCTAACTGTGAGAGCGGTTCAGCAATGGAACTCTCTGCCCTGGAGTGTGATAGAGGCTGCTTTTTTGGAGGCTTTTAAATAGAGGTTGGATGGCCATCTGTTGGGGGTTGCTTTGAATGTGATTTTCCTGCTTCTTGTAGGTGGTTGGACTGAATGGCCCACAAGGACTCTTCCAACTCTAGGATTCTATGATTCTATGAACATGCAGTCCTTGTTAATTCAGTTGGCCAGACTGTGTCCAACTGAAAAAAGGATTAGTTTTGAAGTAACATCAGAGGACTAGAATGGATCAGTCCAGCCAATGGAAGGATATCTAATACCATATGTCACTTTGGGACCTACTGAAGTATTCACTTTCCAAAAAGTAGGTCCAATATTTAGTTTCATAAAATCACTTTTGAGAGATGAACTAACTATGGATACAGTTGATTCAAAAAACGCTTTTCTCTCTCTCTCAAAATATGTTCTTCAGCAGTCAAATTCTTATCCTTTAAGAATCAGATTGTATAATTTCATTGTATAATTTGGCCATCAAACAATACCAATTTTGGAACTAAATTTTAAGCTTATCCCTGTTTGAAGTAAACACTGACTTAAATGCATGAAGCTGTACTATTTAAAGTTGTATCTTTGTTTAATAAAATATACAGAAAGACACTCTAGCATTCAGGCTGAAAGCAGTTTGAACATTTTTATGGAATGTCTTTCTCAAAAACAAGATTTAGTCATGGAGTGAACTTTTATTGTCCTAATTGGCTATAACTTTTTGTTTTACTCACTTTTTGAAAGATGAGTGGAACTTTTATCCCAGGAACTTTTTTCTGGTCATTTTCCAGCAATACTGCCAGTGGAACTCCAAAAAGGCCATTTTCTTAAGAAAAAGAATATTAAAAAATAAGGAATCCTTGATGAACAACACCTGCTGAATACTAAAAAGTCACAACTATATATTTTGACATCATTGAATGCAGTTACCTCTTCCCTTGATCCTTTCTGTTCGGTTCCTCTTCAACTCTATTCCTAAAGCATCGTAGAAGGCTGTCAGCTCAATCAGAGAGAAATAGCAAATTTTCTTCATGTCATCAAGAGACAAATCTCCAATTGCAGTCAGTCCTAATCGGCTTTTCCTGATTGTAAAGTTCTATAATATATTTGTAAAAATTGGTTTAATTAAGATTTTAAAATTCATTTATGTAGTTGTATGCATTGACTTAAAAACAATAAATAAATAGTACAATAGGCCTCTCTTAAAAGCACCTTATTTAAAAGTCTTCAGAGTAAAAAAAAAAAGTTTTGAATAAAAGAAATGCAGGGAAAGGTTTTCAGATTCTAAGTTTGTAGTCTTAAGTCGCTTACTTTCAAATATTGCTATTAAGGTTATTAAGTAATCCCAACTCTTTTGGGTGGGAATCTCAGAGTTGTAGGGGTTACTCCCCACTAACATAAAGTAGCTCTGTCAGCACTGGGGCTGCAAGAAGTAAGGCAGCCTTTTCTTATGTCCACCAAGAGCTCATCTACTGCCAAAGTTGTGCCATGACCTTGAAACGGTATGTAGTAGGTGAAGCATTGCACATCTGTCTCTCAACTATACCAAACTGCACCTACAATCCTTTCTATTCCTTTCCTTTTAAAAAAAATCTGAGTTAACAACACAGCAGAGTCATCCCACATATTCCACTTTGTAACTGAGATGAGCTTTGGAAATGACATAGAATTCACCTTTTAATTCCTGCATCACACAGAAGTGTAAAAATGTGCACTAAAGAAGGTTTTTATTTTAATATATGTTTTTATTGCCAACACAGGTAGAATAATATCACAATCAATCACCATTTCCAAATACATAACAAATATTATTTTCTTAGTGTTCTTATCCTTACCTATTCCACCTTTATCTCCCACTTGTGTCTATCAATTTTACACCCCTCTTCCCCTTCCCCCATCCCACTCTCTGGGAACAGTGCTTGCTTTCATTCAAATATTTTAATTGAAAAATCATGGAAAGAGAATGGTTCAGTTTTCCTTTCCTTTGACTTTATCTATCAGTTTTCCCCATTTGTGAACCCAATTCTTCTAGATTCAACATGATGTATATTTGGCTCTTCTTTCAAAGATGTAGTGCTGGAGCATATAGTCTGCTAGGCAACTATACCATTTTTAAACTTCCCACTTTTTATGGTTTTCAAACCCAAGGCCACTGTTGCTTGGGCAGCAACTACTATATTTTATAATTTCCCCCCAAACTTTGATATTTTTGTTCTTTTTTAATTTCTGGGTGAAAAATTCTTTTTTATTCAAAACTAATTTATGCCCTATTAATTCTTCCATTTCCTTCTTTACGTTATTATAAAATTCTTGTACTCTATCCAAATCAAACTTAAGAAGAGCCATGATAGGTCAGGTCAAATCTAGACCAACATTCATGGCCGAAGAAGTACCTTTCTACACATTAACACATGAGGAAATAATGATTATCATACAGTCTTACTTGTGGGAATATAATTCTTTCTGGGAGACTAGGGCAGATAATGTTTTCCATAGTAGTATATAGGGTGTTTGAAAATATCTTTTCAAGATCAATTGGAAATAAATTGAAATTTTAAAGATAAATTTTGGACTCCCTTTAGAAGGTTCAAATGATCTGTTGCCTTCCTTTGAGCTTAAAATGGACAATATTTTAGTTACCTAGATATATACAGCCACATATATCTATATCTATATCTATCATATATATCATATATACCGAACGCATCTCCTCCTATGAACCGGCTAGGACACTAAGATCATCTGGGGAGGCCCTGCTCTCTGTCCAGCCTGCATCACAGGCACGCTTGGCGGGGACGAGAGACAGGGCCTTCTCAGTGGTGGCCCCTTGGCTGTGGAACGCCCTGCCTGCAGATATCAGATCAGCCTCCTCCTTGCTGGCGTTTCAGAAGAAAATGAAGACCTGGCTGTTTGAACAAGCATTTGATTAAACAGTGTAACTGAACATAGGAATACGGAATAATGGCTGATGAGACTGGATTCTGATTTTACTGTTGAGGCGCTAATGATTGTTATACGGATGTTTAGTGATTTATGTTACAATTGTTTTTAATTGCCCTATACTTGTCTCGTGATGTTTTGTATTGATGTTGCTCACCGCTTTGAGTCGCCTGAGGGCTGAGAAAAGCAGTATAGAAATAAAGTAAATAATAATAATTAATAATAAAGGCTAAAATGTCTTCAGATAATGGTTGAAGTTCTGTAAGGAAGTTAATGTCTTTCTAAGTGGAAATATGTATTCTGGCTAGTTTCATAACATCTAATAAATGTACAGGGTTGCTGTTACATTATTATGTAACAGAGCCAACAAAAGTGTCTGGTGTGCATTGGGCACTCTTGCTAATATCTCAATATGCAATTCTTAGCACTTGCCACTCTCCTACTTAGCTAAATATATGTAAAGTCACATTAAGTAAAAGGTGATACAGGATCCCAGTAAATGTGATCCTCCCTGTTTATAATCTATCTTGGACTACTGCAGTATGAAATGAGTAGCAGGGTATAAGTTCCAGGAGAGTGAATGTCTAATCGCTTGAGTATAGGCATAAGAAATAAGCATTTCCGAGCACATGCCATCCTGACATGCCTTATCTGTATTATTGAATTATAATAAATTACTTTAATGTTAAAGGATGAAGAAACCTTCTGGGAACTGAATGCATGCATTCTTTATATAAATAAAACTGTTTTGAAGCTATTAATAGATAAATACAACAGTACAACAAGACAGAGCAGGAGGAGCCTTGTCATGGTATGTTTTAATATTGTTTTTGTCATTTTATGGCATTCATTATGAGATCGATCAATCATATGTTTTAGCGGTTTATTTTGACTGTTTGTTTTAATTGTTTGTTGGTTCCTGTTTTATTTCCATTTTGAGAATAAGGCATTGAAAGTTTGCCATTTTTTTTGTCTTTGGAAGCTGCCCTGAGCCCCTTCAGGGAGAGAGGGTAAGTTAAAAATAAAGCTGTTGTTGTTGTTGTTGTTAGGCCTCTTATACGTTTCATTTAATCTTTGTTAATATTACAGGATTCTCCTTCCTCCCCATAAACAACCTTTCCATGAAATCTTGAAGCAAAATTGACTCTTTAAGGAACATGTGGTAAAATCTTTGCTACATGTTTTGATATTGATCCAAGCTTTGTTGATGTAAAATATGGGCATATGAACAATACTTTGACTTTACTATGCATTTTAAAATAAGATTCAATGTAGGGAAGAAGCAATGGACTCAACAAAGATAAGTGAACCAATTTTATTTGGCTTGTTTAAAATTTGATAAAGCCTGTTTTGTTAAACAGCACATATGTGTCTTTTCTCTTTGAAAATATTGTGCAATTTTGTGCATTGTTTCTGGTGCCCAAATTTTGCTGTAAAATGTTTTTTAATTACATCTCAACTAAACTACACACTTTGTTCTAACAAGAACTGAGCATATACATTTTGAGAGTACTGTTGTAATTTTTATAGTCAGTGCAAAGTCTAATTAATGTCTTAGTAAACTAAAAAAAGAAAATATGGTGGTGCAAGACACTTTATATACTGCTGGTTGTTTCAGTCATGCAACCTGTTTCTTACTTACTCATATGGGCAACCCACATGGCCAGCAAACAAACTGTAATAATTCCAGAGTACATTTCTTTATTTGGGGGGGGGGGGATTACAGCTCCCAGAGATTGGGTACTTGAGCCATTTGATACGGCTTTGGCTAGGTTTTATGAGCCATTTTGTAAAAAGCCACAATATATCTTTCAAGCTCTCCTTTACCCTCCAAAAGTACACTGAAATTCATTTTAAGACAATTATTCAGTTGGAAAGAAGCAGCAGATAACTGAAGGATTAAACAAACAAGCATATAATTTTGAAGAGACAAAACTTACAGGCAAAGAAGACTCGTCCTTTTTTAACCTTTGGTTTTTATGCCATTCTCTATGCTTTGGAATCACTGTCATTGATTCTGAGAATGAGATATCAAAGGACAGTTCTTCTTTTACCAACTGGCTGTCTTTATCAAATTCATATTCTAAATGGTTATTTGCTGGAAATAAAAATATTTAATATTAACACTTCCTTCTTACCACACAAAACATTTAACAAAGGCTTAATTATAACAGCCTTTCCACCAAAAGGCAAAACATCCAATATATAATCAAAGATAAAGATAGAAAAATATGAAATACAGTCAGCTTTCCATATTTGCTGGAAAAAAGGCACAGGCCAAATCACAGCACAGTTATGTTACCTATATACTGTACTATGCAATCCTAAATAAATCTGCTCAGAAATGTCGCACTAGAATCCATGCAAGCTAATTATATGTAGGATTAAAAAATGAGAGTATAAAGGAACATACATTTCTTTCTTATTTAAAAGATTTATTTAAAAGTGTGGCCAGAACCCATCATAATATTGATATTTGGACAAAGTCTCTCTCATATTTGTCTACAGAATCAAGCTTTGTATTTCTGTACTCACAGCTACGCATTTCCCAAACTGGTTTTTGTATGGGAAGTTGAATGCCATTGGTTGTAACAGGTGATGCTGGTATGGCTTCAAACATAGGCTGGAAATGAAAAAAAACATAACAATAACTTGGTTTTGATGCAATGTTGCAACATTCCATTTCTGAGTTTTGTTTTGCTTTGTGTTGTGATATGAAAGACTGTAATATTTTTGTCTCTTCTGTGCAATGTTATACTTTGAATAAAATCAAATTAAAAAACATTTAAAAAACAAAATAGAACATAATACAATAAATCCAAATCCACACATACTATTCTAAATACTACACTGGATGCAGTTTCTAGTGGAATCCCTGAAAAAGATATCCAGTACAAAAATACAGATGAAATATGGCAGCAGCATTAAGTGTAACTGGGCATGACTGAATTGTGTAGGCTTTAAAGCAAAGTATGCCTCATGTGCCTGTTGGACTGATGCCTATGGTTGTGATGCATGTGGATAGCCACTTCTACCAAAATATGGCCTTTCTAAGGGTTTACAAGAAATTACCACATTACTGCCATGAAGGCCTTAGCAAATTCCTAGAGAGGATACTTTTATGGTCACTTCTGGCAGAAGTCATTCATTTCATTAAAATTTGCTATTATCTATGGTTTCCTGTTTGCACAGTAAGTTCAGGAACATGTCCCCTGTGGATAAGGGGCTTGAACTGTATTCATAATGAAGTCATATATTTTTACAAATATCCACATGCCTGTTATAAATCACTAAAAAAATTCCATAATAATAAGTAATTACCTGCCAGTGAAGAAGACCTAAAACAAAATATTTATATCTAAATTGTTCCTTAGGTTATAATACTTCATTGTTATATGCCTTCGAGTCATTTCCAACTTATAGCTAACCCTGACCTTCTTAGCCAGATTTATTCAGAGATGTTTTGCCATTGCCTTTGTTTGAGGCTGAGAAAATATGGCTTGTCCAAGTTTATCTTGTGGGCTTCCTAGTCTCCTTAATGTTACTTACTTTGAAGTGGCATTTTCAGTGACTCACACAGCTATAGCCCTGGAAACAATGACTTTAAAGCAAGCAACATTCCAAAGTGACAGACTAATTTCGCCCCTTAACACCATCTGCTCAAATTGTGCTTCTTCTCTTCAATACAAGTTCTTAATGTTTGTTATTTCATCTCTTTCTAAGATGTTTTTAGACACATCTAATCAAAAAGAGGTGTATCACTGATGCAGTATTTGTTGAATGACATTGCTACATCATATAAGTTACTGGAAAATGCAAAACTTGTCTTTGGAGAAGACGAAGGACCTTGTCGCATTAAGGGTGAGATCATTAGCTAGAAAGCCATGGATTAGCTAGAAAGCCATGGATTCGATACGCATTGTGGAGAATATGGCAGAGTCCGGCGGGGAGCATGGGCAACCTGTCACCCTGCATCGCCCTAGCATCCACTACCCAACTTCTCCCTGTTGTTGACTATGAAACATGGGAAGCCTCCCATGTTACTGCCATTGCAGTTCACCATGCTCCCACTTCACTCATGGCATGGAGCCCCGCTGGAAGTAGATCGACATTGTGGGATAGGAGGCAGTGGGCTCCATGCTCTCAGTGAAGTAGGAATGTCATACGACAGACAATTTTGTCTGTATGATGAGGCTGTAAACAACGAGACTAGACTTTTCACTTGTTTGCTTCTCTATTTTAAGGGGCCAATACTTGCTCTTCAAAGAAGAACACATTCTAAGGATTTTGAAAATCACAAAAAATAATAATGAAACTCCAAAAGGGGGATGGTGTGTAGATCCATTTGTTAGAAATTCATTAGCTAGAAAGCCATGGAGTCGATACAAAATTGTAAAATGAAGAGAAGTCAATTGAAACAAAAATATCCCATTAATTACACTGATATAACTACACCAGATCCAATCTAAAATGCTTATCTTTTAAAAAAGACACAAAACCAGGCAAAAAACATTCTGAGCCTGCCCCCCATTCCCAATGGAACAGATATCAACTAAACAGCATTTCCCCTATAAGGATCAATTCTATAAGTAGGAACAGAACCAGTAAAGCAAGTACTAGCCCTGACCCAACACTTCTTTCAGAATTGGCCCAGGATGATATCCTATTCGTAGTATTCAGTGATATAAGATACGCATGCATTATGAGTAAAAATGCAAAGATCTGAAAAATACTAATAATTCTACTTACTGAAGCATCATTGATGCCAAAGATATCTCGCACATCTCTGACTGTGTGCTTATTTTTCTTTCTCATTGTTTGAGTGTAAGTATTATATCTCTTCTGCACAGCAGCTGCTTGTGTTCGGGTGAGGGTAGACAGTAATGCCTCTCCATCATCCTCTTCAGATCCCGATATTAATGTTGATAAACCTACATCTTGCAACCATTCAGCTTCCAATTCACCTTCTGTGGAAGAATAAAACTGTACTGATAAGAAACTGAAAATGGAAGTGGCACTGTAACATCACTTGCTCTTCAGAATATTTATCTTCTTATTTGGACTAGAAAATTGACATATTTGGCCTTACTATGCCCTTTACCAGGCTCCGCTTTCTGTTAAGACTCCAACAATTTTCTCTGCACCAATGTTGTCTGGTTATTATTCTATATATTTTCTCTGTTCTTTGCTTTCATCTGATTTTTTTGTTCTACACATTTTTCCTGCTAACTTTTAGAGTGATGGGAAAGGTGATTTCTAGTGGACTCATCCAGGACTTTTATTTCTGTGCTGTCCTGAGTGAAGACACAGCAAAGGGAAGAACATTGCCCTCCCTACAGCTGTGGAATAATTTCTTTGTATAATTTTTATCTTTAATTTGACCATACCAACAGAGGTAATTCATTCTAACAAAACTGTATACATAATCTGAACCTGTTTGAAAGATCATAAACATGACCAATAATACATTCTTGTGCTTCCATGCTGATAGTTAACCTCCAGACCTCTCCATTGATCTCTCACATACCCCATATTTTCTCCCATGCAAATAAATAAAGGGTCTCATTTAAGAAATGTTGAGCAAAATCAGCTGATATCATCAGGCTTACAAAGTAAGACCTACTGAAATCTGGAACATGCTACTGACAAAATATATTTAAAACCATGCTATCATTCTTACTGATTTTAGAGGGAAAGTTTGCAAACACTCTTCAAAGGCAGTCTGACATAGAGCGTGTTACAGTAATCAAAATGGGATGTAACTAAGGCTTTTCCACCATGGCTGGATCCAGCATCTCAAGGAACAGGCGCAGTTGGCTCACAATTTCAAATAAGCAAAGGCACCCCTGGCCACTGCAGAAACCTGGGCCTCCAGGAGTACCCCAAAACTTCAAGTATGCATTGCTCACCATCAGGAGGCTTGACTTCTAGCAGGGTTTGTTCATCTGGCCTATCTTCAGTGCTTTCTTTGATATTCTCTACTTCACACCAGAAATCTTCCATGGAAGTGCTGTCAACGGAAGCTTGGGAATTAGAGCGACTGTACACAGGAGGACGCAAGGATTCACTGGAAAGCATTCTGCTAATTCTTTGGCACCGTGGAAGGGATTTTCTGCAAGGAAATAAGTTTTGAACGAAGACTAAACATTTGGTCATGCTCGTCAGCTTTCAAATCTAAATTAGGTAAGGTTTTCCTAGAACAAAATAGCAATTACTGTTGTCATCACAGTCACCACTGCTGTCACCACCACCACCATCATATATATTTATTTATTTATTTATTTATTTATTTATTTATTTATATCTTGCTTTCCCCCACAAAAACAGAACTCAAATGGTCTACAAATTAAAGCACAGGAGACCCCTACTGGTAATTTTAAGCCTTGTATCAGGCACATGAATAGCTTAGGTCTGGATGGAAAGGAGATTTCAACCCCCTCCCCCCATTTTTTAACAAATTTAACTATTAGCAAATTAATACAACTAGGGCACTGGGAAGAGAGAAAATTGAAATGGGAAAAAAACAGCAATGCTGTCAAGAAAGCTACACAAACACTGCTTTTTTGAGTTTGTTTTGACAAAAAGAATTCCTAGACCACATCCCTTCAATTGATAACTTGTATTAAAAAGGTGAAATGAAAACTGTTGATGAGACAACATGGCCATTCTTAGTTACTGGTGTAATAAAAGAAGATTGTAACAAACATGTATTTTCTGCGTTCTCCCCTAGTCATTTGGATGCTACAAGTCAGTTTTTCCGCATAAGCAACTCCCCATTCCAAACCAACCAACATCAAAATGAAAGATCTTTCAATATTTTCCATAGTTTCATACTCTCTAGTCATGCAGGCCCCAACAATATAGTAATAGGTTTCCTATGTAAAATATTTGAATGTTCCCTTTCCAAAAGAGTTAATTATAATAAAGTCCCCCTGGGATGTAATTGTTGACAATAATGCTTAGGAGAATAGAAGGGTGAGTCTGCAAGACATAAACAGAGTTCTACATGATAGAGTGACTTCCAGGGTCCTCAGTCATGGGGTCACCTGAAGCTGACATTCACTTGATGACAGTTAACATCAAATGTTGGAATAAACAAATTACATCTTAAGATTTCAAAGCTTAACATGTGATGAAGGCCTGTTCATCTATCCTCTCTGAGTATTCAAGTGGTGAGGAAACAAAGTTGCTTCCTTTGCTTTCCTTGCAGTCTACTGCTGTTAGTAGCCCAGATCATGTCAAAAAGGATAGGGTGAAGTGACAGGAAGCACAGATATAATAGAAGGGGGCCAATCGATACTTAGAACTTGGAGATCAACTGGAAAAGTTATGGCTATAAACCTGCCTGAATTTGAAATAATATTGGCCATTAGTATTTTCCTATAGGAGGCTCCTTTGTAAGGTACCATAAATAAAGGATTCACAAAAGGAAATGAAATAAATAACTCAGCTTTGTATATGACCTGTGGGAATAAAAGAAAATGTAAAATAACTCTTTCAAGTACTTTTGTGATTTGCAGATTTATAGCACAGTAAATTCCTTTGCCAAAAGTCCACAGATACAGAAAGAATTTCAAGCAAATTAAAATATAGCATTTCAAAACAGGAGAGAGCTTTTATTATGCTATTATTCTTTTTTACAATTGTGTTATTCTATGAAGTAATGTATTTCTTGCTTAAAATGACTGGCTCTGCTATTTCAACTCTTTTTTCCTCCAAGTAATGCAGCTATGGGTTGCTTATTGTTTTAAGAAGGACAAAGCAGAAGCAAGATAATACAAGAAACATCTAAATGATCACCGCTAAAGTGAGAGAATTCCATCTAGTCTGGTTACTAGAAAGACAAAGACAAAACAGGCTTCAGCTCAGAGGGAGCAACTCCCTCAAGTTTTCTAAACTGTTGGGTTCTGGTACTATTATCTGAACAACTGTCGAAAGCACAATTCTTTTAAAAGATCCTTAAAATACACAAACACATGTACACACACAGACACACTGTTGTCTCTTCACATTGTAAGGAATATAGGCACGGGGCCCAGCTCTCTTGACTATACCTAACTCAGGGGACAGTTAAGCAGCTTTTCCATGGGTTTACCCAGATCAACCCTGCAGGTCTGATCTAATCTCACACTGATGTAAATAGTCAGTATAAATGTACCCCATCTTATGCATTAAGGAGCTGTGCACATGTGCTGCTTAGAAAATTCAGATATAAGGGCCAATAAAATGGATTTTAAAATGGGTCAACTAGACCAAAGAAGGAAACTGTAATTATCCTGCTTACTTGAGAAGAAACACAATGCCCATGAACAACTGCAACCTTGCCATCAGAACTATATAGATATGAGAAGATTACTCAAGAAACAGTTACAAAGCAGAGCAAGTAGATTTATCCACTCTGTAATGTGGTAGGGGTCTGTTCTTCTTCTACAATAGTGCTTCCACTGTTGACCTTTGTTGTATCAGACAATAATATATGTAATGTATAGGGCTATATGATATTCTGAATTATACATATTTTTGTGAGGCCTGTTGTCTGTGCCAGAAATTAAGGAGATAGTGGTTGTACAGCATGAAAATGGTGAGGAAGAATATGATTCTAGTCTAACAAACAAATCAATAGGCCAAATACAACCACAGACGGCAATCAGAAAAAAACCCATCCCAGTGGGTATGACAATTGTGCTCCACCATTAAGTGTCATAATACTCTCAGTCTTGAAGCTATCTAAAACATGCTGCTTTTGAGCAACACTTGTGAATGCTTCCTGTATGAAGAATAAAATTGTTTGCTGTTTATTAGTCACTGTCAAGCAATTCAAACATTCCCTCCCTCCCAGAGGGAAGAACATCAGCAGTGATCCTTGCTCTCCACAAGCTCCACACCCTAAGTCTTTCCTTACATCATCTAGCCCCAAGTGACAGCACAACCCACCCTATTAAGAAGAAAGGGATTATGATTTCAACAACAGGCTTTTCTTTTTATTTATTGTCAAAGGCTTTCATGGCTGGAATTACTGGGTTGTTGTAGGTTTTTCTCTCCTGATGTTTCGCCTGCATCTGTGGCAAGCAACCTCAGAGGCTATGAGGTTTGTTGGAAACTAGGAAAATTGGGTTTATATATCTGGGGAAGGTCCAGGGTGAGAGAAATAACTCTTGTCTGTTGGAGCTAGGTGTGAATGTTTCAATTGGCCACCTTGATCAACATTTGATTAGCATTTTCTTTTATTGTACTATCAAATAAATACCATAAAAATAGCGTGCATCATGCTTGTAATATTTAATGTGACAAGCAACATTTCACTCACCAATGCAGGTTTATAGACAAAATCATAGCTATGCAAAGCAATAGTTTTGTGATTGAAGACATCAGCAGAACTTCTCAAAATGACAGAAGAAGCACTTGCATTTATTCAAAATAGCAAGATAGAAAGTCTTCCTGGGCTCAACTGTGTATTAATGGCACTGGTTAGATTCTAGAAATAGATAACTTCCACCCACTCTTTAACAACAACAACAACAACAACAGCAGCAGCAGCAGCAGCAGCAGCAGCAACTTTATTCTTATATCCCGCTTCCATCTCCCCAAAGGGACTCAGGACCAAGCCCAATATAAACAAAGGTTGCAAAGTAACACAATAAAACATATAACAGTCAACTATATTAAAACCAATAAAATGTAAGACATCAAAAAACATAAACCAAACAACAAAGAGCCAAAAGCCAAGAAAAGTGGGCATGTGCAGATTTGAGACTAATAGGGCTGGACAAGGGCTTGTGCAAACGCAAACTGTAGGTCCGGGGCTGGGAATAAAGTGATGGAGATCCAACCAAAAGATTAAGGCTAGACAGACTTGATCAGTAGCTAAACCATTATTCAAAGGCACATTGGATCATCCAAGTCTTCAGGTCACTGGTTATGCTGGCTAGGGCTGATAGGAGCTGCAGTGTGACAACATTTCAAGGACTACAATGTTCATTCCTGCATCCTATCTATCTATCTATCTATCTATCTATCTATCTATCTATCTATCTGCATTTTACTGCTTTCAATGAAAGTCACTTCAGCTTAATTAGTCCTAAAGTTGAAGTCCAGGGAAGCTTTATGATTACTTTGATTTTGCATTCCTTGCAGTATACAGAAAGGTATGGGCATAAAATTTAGTGATCTATCTATGTAGCCCCACTACTTCCCTTTTGCGGTGGCAATGAAAATAGAAATTGTACTGCCCAATTAAATTGTGTTAGCAAGTTTCACATGTTTTAAATCTCATAGCAGAAGCAACAAATGTATCCAAATTAATAACTCTTTTTGCCACAAATAATATACCCAAAAGATTTCTTTTTAAAAAAAGCCAATTACAGACTTACCCACCATGTCTTTTTTCTTTACTGTTAGTATACTAATTCAAATATCTGGCTGCCGCTTTTTTTTTTTTAAACAACTGCTGTGAACATGATCACAAGTCAAATTCAATTATAAATCAAGCCATCATGAAACTTCTGGTCTGGGTCATAAATATTTCATACAATACAGCCAAAGATGAAAACAAATAGAAATATGATGTCTGGGTTGAATAATTGAAGGCAATAAGAACTCCACCCAGTGAAAATCCAACAGCAGTTGCCACACTCCACCCAATATAAAACCACCAATTCTATTCAATTGCCATTTGCTATGTGTTTAGTGCATGTCCAAGGCATGAAATTGCCTTCAAACGGTCCTGATGTAAGTTTGATTTAAATCCTGCAAGAAAACCGCAAAATAGCAATACTCTGGACAATCATCTTGCCTACATGAGGTGAGGTACTGATGAGCTTCAAGCAGCATGGCGTTTTCCTTTAGGCATTTGTTATTTTTGTTGCTGGACCATGCACATTTTTAACATATCTCTGAAGAAAAGCATAATTCATCTCTAAAAGTCAACCATACAATCTTATTGGGAAACAATCAGCATTTCATATCCACAGATCCCACATCAACAGATTCAACAGCCCATGGCTTGAAAACATTTTTAAAAGCTAAAAAGGAAATTGATTTTGCCATTTTATAGAAGGAACACCATTTTACTATGCCATTGTATATAACAGGACCGAGCATCCATGCACATCC